CAGCACCACATACAAAGATGTTGTGTCCACTGAAAACTTAATAAATACTAAAAATTCTCTCTCTCTCTCTCTCTCTCTCTCTCTCTCTCTCTCTCTCTCTCTCTCTCTTAAAAAAAAGATGTGATGTTAGACTATAAAAACTTTGCCTTCCTTGGGCCAGCATGATCTGTTACAAGTCTTGTGAGGAAACTTGTAAAGAAGCAAACAGAAAAGAGAGACACACTCACAGTGAAAAGGAAAAAAGAAAAAACTGGCCACTCCTCTTCACAGCTGCACATAGTATACCCCAAAATTACATAGCTTCTGTTACCATGACTATATTCTAACCTAGCGTTATTTTAACCCCAAGTGCTAGCTAACCAAGATAAGGTACAATTACTACAAACATAGAGCCCCTTCTCCCTAAGGACATTACCACAGAAATTAGATAGTGCACCTGTATAGTTGTCTTAATAGCTTCAGGGAGAAACTGCTAGGCATTACTATTGTGGAACTCAGGGTGCCAGTTATCATCACCCCCACACTTTCCTGTCTATTTCCAAAGTCAGAATACCTACAGCCTCCCCTCACTTTTTAAGGCCTTTTGAATAAATAATATTATTTATCTTCTTAATGCTGGTGGGGGCAAAAAATAAGGCAGCCATAGACAACAGCAAGTGCCAACATCAGTAAACATCCACCTATGAATATTTTTTGACCCAGATGAAATTGAATAAACATGAAGTTATCCAATCCAACAAGTCTAAACATCAATCATCTTGTTGGACCTTATTAATTATATCTTTAAGGTAATCTAACTATTTTGAAATAAAATTACTATTATCACTTAAATTGAAGGAACACATGTTATTAAATTTCTGATATCCATTAAGATATAACAATACCAGACAATCAATTGTAGCATGAATGTCAAGTATGGCTTGACAATGTTGTTTTTGTTCTTCATTAAGCATATTAACGGCCATGGAGGCATGGCTAATACTTTTTATGATAGCATAGGCGAGTTTCATAGTAGTTTTGTAAGCCCATAGAGCTAGTCCAGGGAAACCCACTAAGGGGAATGTCAAAGCCTCAAATTCTGCCTTAGAGAGAAGGTTCACTGAATCATCACAGTTTTTATCAAGAGGAATAGAACTTTTATGAACAAATTGCACAGGATGGTGACCTATTAAATGCTATGTGGATGATAAGGACACAGTTATTCTGCTAATATTAATAGTATTCTGAATACCATGAAAAATTTTCGCAGGTATATAATAATTTCATTCAAGTGAGTCAAGATATTGTAATGGGTTGTAGAAATCCAGGATCTGACAGTACTGAATTTCCCACAGCTGGTGTACAAAAACAGAGCAACATTGTTATTAAGACCAAAACATTTACAGAGTTTTGTGTGAGTTTAACAATCAAAGCAGTAACTAAGTTATCCAGAGTACATTCTAACCTATTGGAGCCAACACCTTTTGAGTTGAGGCTGTTAATGTTTTCAAATCCCCCCACGTAACTGGAATTATAGTATCTTTGGTTCCTCTTTTAATGTTTCTCCTCTTTTGAGGAGAATGATCATTCTCTTCTTTGAAGGGACTCTTCTCTTCCAGGGTTAAATGAAACTTACGAATCAGCTTGTGAAGTCTCTGATGTACATTTATAATTGCTATATTTCATACATCAAGCTAGAGTCCAAACAGAATATGTTGCCATAAGTGTAGCAGTTTATGCTTTTCCCTATGTGATCAAAGGCATAGGATCTTGTCATGCTGGCTGTTTGAGAATAAAATGTCTATTCAATGCAGATGACCAATTTTGAGTATTAACTTTATGTTGTATATTGAGCACATTAACTGTAAATAAAACAATATTTAATGCATATTAGAAAAAGCCTGAATATAATAATAATACCCCTGACCATTGGGGAGTGAATTATATTTTATTCTCTCAAATATTTTCATATTTAGTATCATTTTTATCCTTAGTGGAAGAACTGAATGAAGACAGATAGAATATGGATTTTTATGAGTTTTGAGGCAGACAGTTTTCAAACAGACAGAAAGCAGTGGGACAGTGGTAGAAGTTGGCCTGTAAAGCAGCCATCTTGATCTGTGATCCAGGGGATTTCCCACAACTCCCTGTGGACCCTGCATACTGCAAGAGGCCATCTCTTTTCTGGCTCTCTCCTCCTGTGGGTAATCTCATCTTTTGAAATGAGGGGAGGCCAGGGCAGGTATTTTCATGCTGAGCAGGCTTGTTTTAGCTGTGGTCTCACCATCGTGTGTTCCCTTTCAGTCTGGAGGAAGGACCCTCCTCTATGGAGGTAAGTGACTGATGTTTCCTTGGCCTTCCCTCCTCCAGGATCCTCCTCTGCCCTTCTGTATCAGTGGACTCCACCCTGGATGGGATGGGTTTTCCTGCTCTCTCTTCTTTAATTTGTTTCCCACCCCTCCCAGCAAATACTTTCAACTTTTTTTTTCTTTCATAATCGTCACACATTAACCTGCCCCGTCTCCAAACTAACCAAAAGCCAAGTACAACAGGAAAGAAAAATTCTCCTAAAAGGAGAGAAAAATGATTGTAACTTGCATTGGAAAATCACAAGGACTTCTCCTTGGGATTGGATCACAGAACTCACCTCATATTCCTATCTTTTAATCATTCTTCATTTTTTAAAACTTCTTTTTTAGTTGTAGGTGGACACAATACCTTTATTTTATTTTTAGGTCATGAAGATAGAACCCAGTGCCTCGTGCATGGTAGGCGAGCACTCTACCTCTGAGCCACAACCTCAGTCCTAAATTATTATTTACTTTTTGTAATTCCCTAATGTTTTTTTAAATTTTAATTTTGTTTTTTCATGTTGTGGTGCTGAGGAGTGAACATATTCTGGGCTCACCATCTACTGCAGGCTGTTAGTTGTAGATCTTGAAAACATCGTGTTCAACTGGTATTTGTTGTTGGTGCAGTGACAATTGAGAGTTCAGTTGTGAGCAGAGCCTGGATGAAGCAGGGTTGAAACTGTGTAAATAGGAATTGCTGGTCTCTATAAAATTTCAGAAATCATATTTGACAGCTTAGGACTTTCATCTTCCTAATGTGGGGTTTTAGTTTTGTATTCCCCTTTATCCCAGATTCCTACTGTTTTGGTCCAGGTTTGGTTTTCTTATGCTTTCCTGGTCCTCTTGATATTGGTCTTCTCTCAGCTATCTCATACTGTGACTCCCTGTCGTAGCTGTTGGAGGACAGGGCAGGTACATTCATTCTAAGCATTTAGGTTGCTGAGAAGTGAGTTTCTGATGTTCTGAATTTGGAGTCCAGGATGCTTAGGGGATCTGTGAACTACTTGAAATTATATGCAAAGTCTGTGTTTGTGTTACAGGAACACAATGCAATTTATAACGTTCACAAAAAATTTCTCTGCTTTTAAGAGAATTTTGCTTTGCCTGTTGGGCTTGGTCTTTGATTTATATTTTCTGTGTGTGAAGATCATAAAAGGAGAAACCAGGAGAGTTTAATATTATTTACCTAAGAAAAGGTAGAGAGCAAATCAAAGAAGAAAGGATGAGGTGGGAGGAGAGAGGAGATGAGAAGGAAAGTAGAGTGCCCAAGATTCACATAGACATCTTGAGTGTGCTGAAGTAGTGAGAGCTGGAAAATAGCACCCAAGGTGGTTTGAGTTGAGTGTGAAGAGGATTTGGAGGTTCTTTATGTGCCTGAAATGTAACCAACTCCTTGATACATCTTTGAGAGTTTTCAGTGAATACGTTGTGTGTGTGTGTGTGTGTGTGTGTGTGTGTGAATTCCATTAAGCCATTTCTAAGTAATCATCTCATTGAGTTTGCCTGTGATAATGAGATCACCTCCACCTTCCAGTAGCAGTTAGGATAGGCATATGCTATGGCAGTTTCCAATGCAA